GGCTGAAGAAAACCGGAGATTTTTACAAAATACCAAATAATTGAGTATAGAAAAGTGAGTCCATTTACTGAACAGTTTATGGTCATTACTTGGTTCAGTTTCCTGCATCATTAGAGGCTGATTTGAAGATGATCAACCTGTGGTTCTGTTGAGGTGTTTGATTAAAATCAACCTGGATTTTTCTGTCTGCACTATTTGAGTTTCAAGGTTTAACTGAAATCTGCCTCTAATTATATCTTTCCCCTACATATTAAATGGGCTTCACCTCACAATTCTTTTAACATTACCAATGTACAAATGTTGTGCACATTTTCGAATTTCCACCTCATTCCTAATGGAGAATTGTGGATAAATTGCTCTAAAACATACAAAGTACTTAGGCCTATCCATCCTTCCATTTCTGTACTGAAAAAATGCTTCTTCCGAAGGTCACCTGTAGAGAGAGCGATACATCGGCTGCTGATGTTTCTTTTGTAGCAGTATCAACCAATACACTGATCAATGCATTCAGCAGCCATACCTTGAGAACCCTTGAAACCCATTCATTTCTGCTTCCTCTAATTACTATCCATAGTTAATGTTTCATCAAATGTTTTAATTAATGTTTAACTTTATTTACATTGAGACTTGTATAACAATTTTATCACTTTCATTATCATGTACAGGAAAAGCAAACAATATCAGAATGAAGAACAGGCCCCAAAATAAGTGGCAGCACACACCAGGGATCTGTTGGACTGATGTCAAAATAATCTGTAATGGCATCTGCTTTAAATAAAAAAAAAATAATTTATCTAGTTTTATGTAGAAATCTAGTTTTGCAAATAACTTTATTTTGGTATCTGTAAGCAGTAATAAATGCTGTGAATATGCCCATCTTTAAACTGAATTTACTTAACGAGACTGTATTAACTGGGATGGCCTTTAAAAAAAATAAAAATAAAATCTTACCGCATATAAATACTATTTAATACGATTAATTTTTAATATCTGCCAAGGTGATCTTCCTGTCTAAAACTTTTCAATTATCTTCTCTAATAATATCCCTACTACTTGCAGTTTTTAATAGTAAATGAAGTATCTTTACGTGTCTGTGTGTGTAGCACCTTATAGCCAACACAAATTCCTCGTACGTGTAACGTTACTTGGAAAGGAACCTTTGTGGTTGAAGCAAATAAAATCTAGTATGTTGGAGCAATTTGGAAAAGTTTCTAGCTTTGAGCTTTAGAAATTAAGTGTTTGAAAAGTTTTCTCTTTTTTTTTTTGCTTTTTTTCTCTGATCTTGGTGCGAAAAAGGAAAATTGAACCCAGCTGCTACAGCTGATGTCCAGCAAAATGGAAGCTTGAATATCTTTCAGTAAAAAATTGCTGTTGCATTTTATCTCCTCCTGATTTTCTGTGCCCTTGAATTGGGGTGATGATGGCCTGTGGTTAGAGAAGTGCGCTTTTTCTCTGAGAAGGTTTCAAGTATCTGGTTCGATCCCCACAGCTGGCACTCTGGGTCCCTGAGCAAGTCCCTTATCCTCCCACTGCTCCCCAAGGGGATGGGTTACTGTAAATGCAGGGGTAAAATTATCTAGTGTAAGTTTAATAAAGTTTATTATATTATTAAATCTAAGACATGGGGTGAAATTCTGGATCTTAAACTGAAGAGTTTTTCATTCTCTTTAGTAAAGAACATAATCATTGCAGTCCTTCATCTCAATGCTTTAGGTCTGGGCTGTTTTTTTTTTTTTTAACCATTTGTTTCCCTTCACTTTCCTCAGCAAGTTTACTGACACAGCTAATTTGACCCTAGAATGAGTTTGTGAGAAAGTAGTATGAGATTTCCACACCTTTGCAAGATGAGAATAACATGTCATTTACATTTTTGACCTTGGGTTGACTGAGATTCTTATTTAGCCTAAAAACTGAAAAATAAACCTTCCAGCGAAAAGGGGAAAATTACTCGGCTGGTTTAGCATTAAAAGTTGAACCAAAGGATAGTGAAGGAAGCGTGTAAAATCTTTCGATAAACTCACGGCTTTAGATTTGATCTATTTTGACTGAAGACACCTGTCTTCCTACCCAAGTCACGATTTTACGTTTCAGTTTTTAAAAAGATGTCAAAATGAGAGATAAGATGAGATTTCTAAATAGTAGTTTGGAAAAATTGTCTGTTGTTCTCTGAGACAAAGTGAGGATTGCTTCAGGCTGCTTTGCTACGCTGAGATACTTTGCATGCTTTCCATGAATCCTGTTCCAGGACTGCAGTGGGAACCGGCACCGGAGGTCAAAGAGTCAGAAGCAGTGTGTAGAACGTAAATAAATAAAAACACAAGACTGAAAGCAGGTTTGCGTCTTAAAGCACCTGTGGTGTTCTATCGCTGATACACGGTGCAGAACATTTCAGGGAAGAAGCACTTAAAGGTTAATGAATTCAAAGTATTTGTACATAATTAGTTTTCTTGTATTGCAGGGAAAAAAAACAACTTGTTAACTCTCAGCCCATGTCTTATTGGTATTTAAGACTGACAAACACTAGCTTCAGTAACGTAAAAATCTCCTTTTTTGCTTTTGTTCATTGTTATGTACATAATTGCATCAATTATTTGTCTCGGATCAACTGAAAATACTCAGCATGAAGCAGCAAAACTAATTCCTTTGGAAGTCCGACCCTGTAAATCTCTGCTTTCTCTTCATTGTTCAAACAGTTTGGACGTTTTGTCATGGGAGAAAGCTGCTGACCAGTTAAACCTAATCACTACACATCAGAACCCAGTCAGATATAGGTAGACATTATGACAATGTGTAATCTATATAGTCCCTTATTTTAAAATGCAACATCTCAGCTAGTGCTCATGTCTTGTTTGGATTTAGAAACTCTGTGAGATATCTAATGGTGCAAGTGTGGTTATTTTGTCTGTATTAGGAAAAAAAAAAAATAGACATTGCTTGATGATCCCAAAGGCAAAGAATTTCACTTGGATGAGGCTTTTGAGTCAAAAGTACCTGATATATTCTAACAGTTATTCCAGGATCCTATTCTCTGAGTCAGGGCTCACCGATAAATAATACCTTTTTAATGTTAAGGTCCTTTAACAGATGATCAGAAGTGCAAAATAAAAATAAAAAAGCCCAAACCAGTCAGTAGTAACCCAGTCTTCTGTAATTAGATCAAATTTTGTTAAAATGTTTGTTTTTCTAATGTTATGTATTAATTGAGCCAAGCAACCTTATATTCGTCCACAATGTAGACCAGGAATGCTAAATCCATATTTTAGAAAGTCTTTTTCTACTAAGCTTATCTATTTATTAGGGCTGTAATAGGCTATTATTTTGAAAATCGATAAATCTGTTGATTAATTTTTTGATTGATTGACTAACAATAGAGAGCCAAAGAATCCTTTAAGATTTCTTTTATTAAATTAAACCAGATTAATCTAAAACTTTTCCCCTTAAGGAGTTCTGAATAGAGCATATTGAAGGACGAAAGATTTTTTTTTTTTTTTAAATCTTAAATGCGAAATCAATGTTGATATAATTACAGCTCTAAATGGGTTGCTCTGTCAGCTAAAGGAATTTTTTTACGGTCTTTATACTCCAGTTAAGGATTAATTGAATATTAAATTAATTGACGATTATTTCAATAATTGATTGACAATTAATTTTTTCAGCTTTACTATTTATTTTTGGGTCAAACACAAAGCTATTTACAATCAGTGCTAGGAGTGAATGGTGTAAAAAAATTTGCATACCATAAACATGTAGATCTATGTCAAAAATTTAGTCCCTCTGTGATTTGAACATTTTGATTATTTTGGAAATTAATTTCCTTGCCTTGTCCTAAACAGCATCAATTTTATAATCCTGACATTTTAGAATGGATGTTTAAAACTAGAGGTTTTGACTTTGGATTCAACTTGAAAATTAAATTGATATTAATATTTATAGGCATAACTTCTATGTTTTTGGAAAACTTTGGAAAACTTTGAATTCCAAAATACTTCATTAATCCTAAAGGGAAACAAAATAAAAATGTATTTCAAGGACTAAGTGAAGCAAGGTTACTGAGAGTATCTGTTGCAGGGTGTGTGCTTATCTTAAACAAACCCAGAAGCAGGTGATAACGACAACCCTGTCCTCCTGCTGTTTACCAGGACTTGCTTAGTAAACGGACTGTTGCTGTTTGGGAATTGGACTAAAGCACATCAGCGTTATCATGCTTGCAGCTGTGTGGTTTCCTTCCGCCCTATGTGGCCAAAAACTTACTAGAGTGTAATCCTATAGTGTTGGTTCTTATAATATTGAAATGCAAACTGAACTTGAAGTAAGGTATTAGAATATATAGAGTTTTTCGGGTTTTTTTTTTCTATAAATAGCTACCCTTGAAGAGGAGAGGGGGCCTGGTAACTTGTTTTCGTTTTCCCTGGAGCCTCAAGGACCATGGGAACTGTAAATAAAAGTATGCGGGAGGGCTACGTGCCGGACAGACTGTTGATGGGTTTAATATGGAGAGTTCACCCTAGGCCCATTAGCCAAGACCATTATGAGACAATTTTCCCATGTCCTACAATAAAATCATTCATATGAACATGCTGTGATAATGACCTTTTTTTTTTTATTTTTTTTTTTTTTACAGTAGGATTTTAAAGATCCATATAAGAGTAAAGCTTCAGTGCTGGCGTTAATGCTTTGGCTCCAATTTTATTTTATTCTAAAAGGAATTTTCAGCAGTCCTTAGGGGTATAAAGGCAACTAATCAGAGATGAAATCATTTCTGCAATAGAACCAAATGTTTGCAACAGTTGCCAATGTTTAATTGTCATCTGTATTTAATACCTAATGGTTGGGTGGGTTGATTTTAAATATGAACTCAAGATTAATCGGACCCAGTGTGGTGGTGATTTATCTGTGTATTCTTTAGTGGCTGTTTGTTGATTCAGGCTAATGTCTGTCTGATTTCTCTATTTATCAACCAACTCATATTACCTTCTTTTTTTTTCTTTTTTCTTTTTTAGGATTCCGTAAAATCAGCCTTGATGATCTACGGAAGGCTTACATCGTCAAAGATGTGCAGCAGTACATCCTTCACCGGCTGGACCAGGAGGAGGCCTTGAGGCAGCACCTAACCAAGGAGACCGCTGAGATGCTCAACCAGCTTCACATCAAAAGCAGCGGCTGTTTCCTCTACCTAGAACGTGTTCTGGACGGTGTGGTGGAGAACTTCATCATGCTTCGTGAGATCCGTGACATCCCAGGAACTCTCAATGGGCTCTACCTGTGGCTCTGCCAAAGGCTGTTTGTCAGGAAACAATTTGCCAAAGTTCAGCCCATTCTTAATGTCATCTTGGCAACTTGCAGGTCACTTACAGTCAAAGAACTGTACCATGCAGTCTGGACTAAGAACATGACACTGACCATGGAGGAGTTTCAGAAAAAGATGGACATTCTCTCCAAGTTGTTAGTTGATGGCCTTGGGTCTACCAAAATCCTTTTCCACTACAGTTTTGCAGAATGGTTGCTGGATGTGAAACACTGCACCCAGAAGTACCTATGCAATGCAGCGGAGGGACATCGAATGTTGGCCATGAGTTACACCTGCAGAGCAAAGCAGCTGAAACCTCTGGAAGTGCAAGAATTTGCTCTGCACCTTGTCAACTCTAACCTGCAGATGGAGCCTTGTAATCTCGCTCTTTGGATGGTCTGGAATGGAACTCCAACAAAAGACTCTCTGAGCACCTCCATACCAAGAGAGCAGGAGGTCCTGCAGCTTCTAGTCAAGGCAGGTGCTCATGTGAACAATGAGGATGATCACGCTTCGTGCATTGTGCAACAAGCCCTAGAGAGAGAGGACTCGATAAGAACATTACTTGACAATGGGGCTTCTGTGAACCAGTGTGACTCTAATGGAAGAACTCTTCTGGCCAATGCTGCCTACAGTGGTAATCTTGATGTGGTCAACTTGCTCATATCCAGAGGGGCAAACATGGAGTTGGAAGACAACCACGGACAAACAGCTCTGACTCTTGCTGCCAGGCAGGGTCATACCAAAGTGGTCAACTGCCTTATTGGTTGTGAAGCCGATATAAACCACACAGATCATGACGGATGGACTGCTCTCCGCTCAGCAGCATGGGGCGGACACTCTGAGGTCGTGTCCGCTCTTCTTTATGCTGGAGCCAAAGTGGACTGCGCAGACGCAGATGGTAGAACCGCACTAAGAGCGGCAGCTTGGGGAGGCCATGAAGATATTGTATTGAATCTTCTTCAGCATGGAGCTGAAGTCAACAAAGCAGACAATGAAGGAAGAACGGCTCTCATTGCTGCAGCATATATGGGGCACAGAGAAATTGTGGAACACCTGCTGGATCACGGAGCTGAAGTAAATCATGAAGATGTGGATGGAAGGACTGCACTTTCTGTGGCTGCGCTCTGTATTCCTGCTAGTAAAGGCCACGCATCTGTAGTTAGCCTTCTGATTGAACGGGGAGCAGAGGTCGACCACTGTGACAAAGACTGCATGACTCCTCTGCTGGTGGCTGGCTATGAAGGACATGTGGATGTAGTTGATTTGCTCTTGGAGGGTGGAGCTGATGTGGATCACACGGACAAAAATGGCCGCACCCCTCTCCTAGCAGCAGCATCTATGGGCCACGCGTCTGTGGTCAACACGCTTCTTTTCTGGGGAGCGGCTGTTGATAGCATCGACAGTGAAGGGAGGACAGTGCTGAGCATCGCCTCTGCTCAGGGAAACGTGGAGGTTGTCAGAACTCTGCTGGACAGAGGTCTGGACGAAAACCACAGGGACGACGCAGGCTGGACCCCGCTACACATGGCTTCATTTGAGGGCCACCGCCAAGTGTGCGATGCTCTGATTGAACAAGGGGCTCGCTGTTCGGAGGTGGATAATGATGGTAGAATACCACTGATACTGGCTGCACAAGAGGGACATTATGACTGCGTGCAAATTCTCCTGGAGAACAAGTCAAACATCGACCAGAGAGGGTACGATGGAAGGAACGCACTCAGGGTAGCTGCGCTTGAGGGTCACAGGGACATTGTTGAACTGCTGCTGAGCCACGGCGCTGATATCGATTGTAAAGACGCAGACGGACGTCCAACGCTATACATAATGGCGCTGGAGAACCAGTTGGCCATGACTGAGTATTTCCTCGAAAACGGGGCGAACGTTGAAGCTTGTGACACAGAGGGCAGGACAGCCCTCCACGTATCCTGCTGGCAGGGGCATGTTGAGATGGTGAGGCTGCTCATCAACTACAATGCTGATGTTAACGCCTGTGACAACGAGAAGCGATCAGCTCTCCAGTCTGCTGCATGGCAGGGCCACACCAAAGTGGTTCAGTTTTTAATAGAGAACGGAGCACACGTGGATCATACATGCAACCAGGGAGCAACAGCTCTAGGTATAGCCGCCCAGGAGGGTCACATCGACGTTGTGCAGATACTGTTGGAAAACGGCGCAGATCCCAACCATGCTGACCAATTTGGCCGCACGGCCATGAGGGTTGCAGCAAAGGGTGGCCATTCGATGATCATTAAAATCCTGGAAAAATACGGAGCTACAACATTAAACGGGTGTAACCCCTCGCCAGTGCATACCATGGAGGAGAAAACCCCTTTGACAGTGACCGGCAAAATGCATTCCCTCACCATTAAATCCAGTAGTTCTGGCAGCATCGGCGCAGGGGACATGCAGTCCTCTGGACGCGGTCTTCCCAACGGACCCGTCCACGCTTTCAGCTCACCTTCCGAGTCTCCAGATTCCACCGTGGACAGACAGAAATCGTCCCTGTCTAATAATTCCCTCAAGAGTTCAAAAAACTCTTCTTTAAGAACCACGTCGTCTACCGCCACAGCTCAAACCGTACCGATCGACAGCTTTCATGGAATGACGTTTACAGAGCAGATTCAGCAGCACTCACTGCCTCGGAGCCGGAGCAGACAGTCGATTGTATCCCCTTGCTCCACGACAAAGTCTGTCAATCAGCAGCCGTCCTCTCCATCCAATGAATTTGAATGGCCTCAGCTGAAGTCGGGTCTAAAGTCTGCAAAGGGAACCAAAACGGGGAACGGCACTCAAAATAGCAAAGCAGCTCTGGGAGATAAGAAGAAATCTAAAAACAGTGGAACCAGCCAAGGTCAGGTTCTGGAATACGAAATGACCCAATTCGACAAGAGAATGGCTTTCAACCAGACCGTCGCCAACATCGCAGTGAAGGATCCTCACTGTAAGATCATGATTGGCAGTTCGGTGCAGCAGGAAAGAGGGCCGTACCAAGACCCGTATTTCATCCAGCCACAGAGCTGCTCCGAGAAAAAAAGGAACGGGATCATGACCAACCCCAAATATCATCTACAGGGCAATCAGGTCTTCTTGGGTCGAGTGTCAGTTCCACGGACGGTTCAGAACCAGGGCCACCAGGATGTCTTAGAGAACTATCCCATTGGGGAAACAGAGCTGAGCCTTAAACAAGCCCTGAAGCTGCAAATTGAAGGATCAGACCCTGGGTTCAACTACAAAAAGGAGACTCCTTTATAGCTGGTAAGCCACGCCTCAGCATGTGGGCTCAGATAGAAGTCATGTGAAGATGTGTTGCCTTTATAAAAATAAGAAAACATACATCATTTCTAGTTGCAGAACAATATGGAACTGATTTTCTAACCACAATTTTTTTCAATTGGCAAACATTTGATTAAAGTACATTTATATTTATTTTAGATTTGCAGATTCACAATGAGAAAATGAATAAGCTATTAGAAATTAGCTAAATTATTTAAAAACTAAAATATTAATTTGTTATTGTACTGCTCCACTTACTTTCATTGTATTATTTATAGATATTACAATAAATGCTCCAACTCTTAATTTGTCAAAAATAATTATCAGTTGAGCTATTTTGCTTCCTTATTAAATGTTCTCCAGTCTGTAATGAGAGCTTACGAGACTGCTGAGATAGAAGATTAATTTAGTCCAAGGATTTTCACACCTATATTTCCAGTGGTGCCAATTCATTTCTCAACTTTTTCTGGTAATTGGAAATGGCAAAAAATAAAGAAGTGTTCCTTCCAAATAGAATTAACTGTATTCCTTCCTCTGTTGCAGATGCTCTGACCGCCATCCGTCACGCTGACATTGGAGAGAATGTGCCAAAGCAACAGTTTCCAACTGTATTACAGAAGTACTTTCATTTTCCCGCCCTGTGGGACGCCATCAAACAGCCTACGGTGTATGTAAACTGATACTTTGTTGTGTCCACATCTGTTACAGCCTTCTGTTTTCATATAAAAAAATCATTTTAATTTAATGTTATGCTATTTAATAAACATTGTATGCACTTTTAAAAGAATAAACTGACAGACATACATGTTTCCTCCCTCAGTTTATATCCCATCCATGTTTTTTTTTTACTGTTTTATAGAAACAAATGGCAATTCTTTTGTTATTATTTTGCATGACATTGTACTTTGTTGTTCCAGCAGGTACATTGTCCCAGTCCAGAGGACTGAACAGTACTGGTTGTCATTCATTGCCTTTCTAGAGACCCCACATAATCTGTGTTACCTTTGATCAGAGTGCTAAAACCTTTTTTTTTCTTCTGTGTAACATGTCAAAAAGCAGTTTACTGGGATATAAAGCGTATTTATTTTTTAGGAAAACAAGCCACTTTTGTTGCATTTTTATTTGTGTTAGGTCGCATCCTACCATGGTGCTGTGTTTTAAAAATTGCCAACAGACATTTTGGGACTTATTTTTATTTTCTTTTTTTGGCTTTTAATTATCTAAGCAAGAGGGAGATTCATTTATAAAGTAAAACCAATTTGATTTTGTCCCTATGGGATTGTTCTGTTTTTATATTGTGTGTTTGTGTGTTATGGTTTTATGTGCAAGAGTATTTAAGTAACAGTTGTGTATCGTCAGCAAGGTTTTGGTGCTAAATGCAGCGGTTTTGTTAAAATTTTGCATTTCTCAGCAGCTCAGCATATGTTTTCCATATCATTTTCAGTTATATCTTCTGCTGGATTTTTCAGGGGCATGACACAAAAAGGGTTCAGCCATTAAAACGACCCCTAGCTGTTAGTGATATTGTTTGAAATGCAGACTTGTAAAGCCAAAGTTGAAACGGCATACACTGTCCCACCTCCTCTGTGAGACGCTTTTACGCTGCTCACTGGGACCTAAACCCTATGGGAGGAGGAGGAGGAAGAGGAGGTGGAGCTTGGTCAGCCATGACTCTCAGAAGTAAAACATCTGTTTCTTATGAACCGAGTGGAGCTGCATTAGCGTTTACGGGCTGTCATATTTTTGCAGGCTTTTCACAAATTTTAACAGCGAGCTATGTTTTCCCAAGAGCTGGGATTTTGGGGGAGTAGAAGACGTATCGCATGCACAAACACCTAGAAGCCCCCGGTAAAAGCTCTCTGCTCTTCACTAGCTCAGCGTGCCATGAAGGGTAAATGGATGAATCGAAGGCAGGAAAACATGGTGTATAGTCTTACTCAACAGTTCTCTCGTTGGTCTCGAAACTGTTTTGTTTGTCAACTTTGGTTTGACTCAGTGATTGGATTGTAAATAGCTTATTGTGTACATTTATCTTTCATTTAAAATAATTTCTGTATTATATGAAGCTCAATTTTCTGATGTATATTAAAGTGCTTAATAAACATATTTGCTTTACTGCTGAAAAATGAGTCCTGGCTCTTTTTTTTTTTTCGTTTTAGATATTTGCAGTATTCACTATTCAGGGATCCTTTAGTCTGGAAAATGGAAGATCGGACTTCTGCAGGTCAGGATTAATATGGAAGAACGAAGGGAGTAGGAAAAGTACAGACTTTTCTCCTTTTTCTTTAGAAAAATTTGTCCTTTTGCATGTTTCCTTGTCCTTTTTTTCATTTCCTTATATTGTTTGTCCCTTTTTTTTTTCATTTTTCCTTCCTCTGTGTCCTTTTTCTTTCGTTTTGCTTAAGTCTTTCCACCCTTGTGTCGTTCTCTTTTTGTACTTTTGGTCTCCTCTGTTCCTATTTGTCTGTATATTCCCTTGCTTTTATCTTTCATCCTTTTTTACCTTGCTTTGGTCCTTCCTTGTCTGCTAATCCAACTATTTACTACCCAATTTCTTGCCCCCTTCCTCCCATCCTCCCTTGTGTTTTGTTCTATTCTGGTTTGAGTGTCTGTCTTGCAGCTGTTGGTTCAGACCCAGATTGACATAAATGCGGTTTACTATGCAAATTAAAATGCATTTTGATCACTGCTCTCTGACGAGGCTTTTAGATGGATTCTAATTTCTTACTGAATATTCTGGGTTTTGTCGCAATGGAAGGATCAACCTGTAAGGTGAAGAAGGATAAAAATAAAAAAAAATGCCATGACATTTTTGTTTTTTTCTTTCTTACCCTTGAGAGACCAATGTGTATTGGAAGTTCATACCTGGAGCTTTTAAAAGTGTGTTAAAGGTCAAATCTGGTAAAAAGAATCTCTCATCAAGTTTAAAATGCCTGAGATTTGCAAAGTTCTCTATATTTAGGACAGAAAAAACAGACTATCTGCAACACAAACCATTTTTTACAGCCAAAGCTACTTTACATTTTTTTCCTATTTCTCCCCAAATCTGTTAATATCTATTCCTTGCTTTAAAGCTTTTCTTTCTTCCCTGTGGAGATCCTTTTTTCCGTTGTGTTGAGCCTGCGAAACCCAGGCCAATGGTTAAGTTAATACTTTACTTTGCTGTTGGTCATTCGATATGCAGGGGGCCAAACCAGGACGCCGCAGGCATCCAAACACATGGATCAAACTGAAATGGAACAACAGACGAACGTGCCAAAGTACTATCACTGCCCCCCCAACTTTATCCCAGAGTTCAGTCAGTTCGTTGCAGCTGAAACAGAGATTGAGCAAAGACAAAGCTCCATGATTTAATGAGTTCAAGCAACACTTTACCCAAATAAAACCTGCAGAGATATTTAACCTCCGATTTATTCCTCCGACCTTAATTAAAGTTCAGTCGGCTGATTTCCCTCCAATATTTCATCAAAGAAGCACTGCAGAGAGGTTTCAGTGGCGTTTTGTTTTGTCAACTATTAGCACAGCATTTCCCTGCATGTTTCCAGGGTGGATGTTAATAAGTAAACCATCTGCTGCTGACGTCAGGCAGTTCTCACTGTCCGAGCTTGGAGGGGCTCCTCACAGACCAACTGCCAATGTCCACATCTGGTTCTTCTCCACCCATGCCCTTGTTTTGGATACAGTGCTAACAATCTCCCACGCAAAATGCATAACTTGGCGACAGTGTTGAGGTCAACTTGTTCCAGACACATTATTTTAATTCAAACTCATTGGCTTTAGTCTCTGCATTTGTGAAGCATCTGTATGCCTGGTTCCATCCTTTAGCTTCATTTGCTTTCATTTAGATGTTGATTTTTAAAAATAAGGGTAGAATTCAAAAATATGTTCAAGAGAACATTGTTGCAGCCTGAGATGATGCAAATATGGACCTTTTTATAAAAATAAAAATAAACTAATTCTAGCAAAGCTGAGCAGAAAACAAAAAGCAAATGTTAGTTTATGGAGCACTTACATTAATTTTGACCTTTCCAGCAAAGTTTTGTTTCTTTCTCTTTTCCCCTTAGGAAGCTTTTACTTATTATTTCCATGTGTCCTTTCAGGCCAAGGAGAAGCCCAGCAGATTTACTCTCATTTTTTCACAAGCAGACCATTATATCCATTTGAGATATATATATATATATATATATATATATATATATATATATATATATATATATATATATATATATATATATATATATATATATATATATATATATATATAGCTGTATTGTAAATATGCTGGATTCTACCTATGGCCAAAGCTAAAGACTTTACCCAACTTTGAGACTGAAGGGTTGGGAAATAACCAACTTCCAGTTTACTTATTAAAAATTTTAATGTTCATCTGGAATAAGCAAAATAAAAACATACATATCCAACTTTTAAAAGCAAAGGCACTTTTCTTAGAAGTAATGTTCTGCATTCAGTGATACATTAAAAATAATTAACATTTAAAAAAGGTTCCAGAGAAAGATGACTACTTATAGTGAGTTAACTCAGTAGTTTTGCAGAAACAGATACTTGTTATGTATATTATTTCTCAAGTAACTAAATATTGATACTTAGTTACTTCACTTAATTAACTGTTTCTGTATCTGTACCTTGGTATTTATTGTTCAGAAGACATTTTACTTTCAATTACTGCATTTATAACAAATATTTGTACTTTTTGTCCCTGTCTAAACTGGATTTTTTCTTCCATACATACTGATGACGGCATGATGTAAAAGCTGCAAACAAATGAAGGGAAAATCAAGACGAGAATTTGTCCAGTTAGAAAAACACTAATGGCTTTGATGAAGACAGGCGGCTGGGAAACATGAGCATCAGCTGATAGTGGATCAAATTCTGACATGCAAGGCATTAGGCCTTTGTTAGATGTTAAATATACTGTTAATTGCATTTCAAGTTCTATATGAATTCTAATGCTATCTGTAACCTTAATGTTGCAATAAAAATCAGAGCTGTAGAAGTATTCAGTTGCTTATGCTAAACTTTTCTTAAGTTCAATCTATATTATCCTGTCAGAAATGTGATTTTAGAGGTAAACTAAACCGATATCAATATGTTTTATGTTTTCTCTATCAAAGCAGTGAACAAAAGAGAAAAATTAACTAATTTCCGTTTACATGAAATAGATACACTCACCGGCCACTTTATTAGGTATCCCATGCTAGTAACGGGTTGGACCCCCTTTTGCCTTCAGAACTGCCTCAATTCTTTGTGGCATAGATTCAACAAGGTGCTGGAAGCATTCCTCAGGGAGTTTGGTCCATATTGACATGATGGCATCACACAGTTGCCGCAGATTTGTCGGCTGCACATCCATGATGCGAATCTCCCATTCCACCACATCCCAAAGATGCTCTATTGGATTGAGATCTGGTGACTGTGGAGGCCATTTGAGTACAGTGAACTCATTGTCATGTTCAAGAAACCAGTCTGAGATGATTCCAGCTTTATGACATGGCGCATTATCCTGCTGAAAGTAGCCATCAGAAGTTGGGTACATTGTGGTCATAAAGGGATGGACATGGTCAGCAACAATACTCAGGCAGGCTGTGGCGTTGCAACGATGCTCAATTGGTACCAAGGGGCCCAAAGAGTGCCAAGAAAATATTCCCCACACCATGACACCACCACCACCAGCCTGAACCGTTGATACAAGGCAGGATGGATCCATGCTTTCATGTTGTAGACGCCAAATTCTGACCCTACCATCCGAATGTCGCAGCAGAAATCGAGACTCATCAGACCAGGCAACGTTTTTCCAATCTTCTATTGTCCAATTTCGAAGAGCTTGTGCAAATTGTAGCCTCAGTTTCCTGTTCTTAGCTGAAAGGAGTGGCACCCGGTGTGGTCTTCTGCTGCTGTAGCCCATCTGCCTCAAAGTTCGACGTACTGTGCGTTCAGAGATGCTCTTCTGCCCACCTTGGTTGTAACGGGTGGTTATTTGAGTCACTGTTGCCCTTCTATCAGCTCGAACCAGTCTGGCCATTCTCCTCTGACCTCTGGCATCAACAAGGCATTTCCGCCCACAGAACTGCCGCTCACTGGATGTTTTTTCTTTTTCGGACCATTCTCTGTAAACCCTAGAGATGGTTGTGCGTGAAAATCCCAGTAGATGAGCAGTTTCTGAAATACTCAGACCAGCCCTTCTGGCACCAACAATCACGCCACGTTCAAAGTCACTCAAATCACCTTTCTTCCCCATACTGATGCTCGGTTTGAACTGCAGGAGATTGTCTTGACCATGTCTACATGCCTAAATGCACTGAGTTGCCGCCATGTGATTGGCTGCTTTAATTCAAATATTTCATTTTACTTTTGGTACTTAGGTAGAATTTAGAAAATGTTTATTTTACATTTAAATAACTAATATCGTTTAATCAGTGTCTTTCTCTCTTTTTTTACACAGGTTTCTGTATTTTTTACCCAAGAAATGAACGTGTTCACTTTTTACACCTCTGATTATTGTGGATGAATTACCTTAACCTGAAACCTCAGAAGAAAGAAAAACAACCAATCGCAAATTCTCCAATAACAATCCGTCAAAAGTTAAACACAAGCAATCAAGCTGCAAGAATCAGTTTATACAATTAAAAAGACCATTCTAAGTATTTGAATTGTATTAGGTGTAATTGGGGATTTAGCACTTCATTTTCTAAACAAACAAGTACAAAACAAGACCTTGGTTTTTCATTAAGGTGGACTTCTCCAGCAGAAAAATGTAGATCATTAATCAGCAAAAATAAAGCCTCTCTTCATGTGTGTCGCAATGCTTAGACTTGAAGGAGCATCTGCTACTTGTGAAGAAAGTTATATAACAGTTTCCAAACTTTTAGAGATTCACTGTAGAAAGAAATATTATTCACAAGAGAGACCTTGAAAATATTTGCCCAATCTTCCCAAGAAAGAAGCTTCAAACCAGGTTTCTCTCAAAGTCTGCTTTTGAGAAATGCTTAGAGGAATTGCAAAAAGGTTATCCTGAAATAAATAATAATAAATAAATAATCCCACCTTGGATTCAACAGTACCTCGGTCTGCTTGTTAAATGGAATAGTTCATGACAGGACAATGAGAA